GTGTTTTGGGGGTGGTAAGCTCATGGGAGGGAGAGCGATTTCTCCAGACCCCACTCCCAGCAGCTGTAGGAAGCCTCAGTCCAGAGGCTCCCCAGAGCAGCCAGGCAGGGGAAGCTGGCAGCCCTCAAGCCAGAAAGAGTGTGCATGGGCCCCGTATTGTGGGGAGGGGCCCCAAGACACCCAGGAAGGTTCACACTCCCCTGCAAGTGTCCCCATGCCTGGAGTTCCCCCTCAGCCAGCTCTATGGGTAAGGGGTCCTCTCTTCCTTCCTCTACCTTCCTAAGCCTGGCTTGGACTTGCCTCCTCTGGCCGGGGACGGGCACCCTCTGGGGAGGAGCTGCAAAGTATGAATTGTATCATTTCAGTGACTCCACCCAAGACTTATATGCTCTCATATTTGCATTTAACTTTGCATTGCACAACATAAAGATGAATAGTAAAATCCATGCTAGTAAGTGAAAACTTTAATTTTTCTTAGAATAACATTAAATAGCAAATGCAAAACACCATGACAAGTGAGAGAGAGGCAGCCTGAGAAAGGAAAAAGCTTTATCTATAGCAGCACTTTTTCCCCTGCTTTTTAACCTTGAGGCCCTGCATTTTCATTTTGCATGGAGCTCACAAATTACGTAGCCAGTTCTGGTTACAACTTGCTCTTTGCATAGGCCAACACATGTGCAAGCCTAGCAGCTGACCCTGAAAGCAATAGCTAGAACCCAGTCCCACAATAATGTTACTTTCTGTGAGTGCCCCGTGGTGACTCACAGCTCAAGACTGTATATTTCTCACTTGTCTGAGTGCAAAGTAAAAGTGGCTATTTTTATAGAACAAAAACCGAGGCAAGATACAGAATTCAGCCCATCTCTATGCACTGCTGCACCTGAGACATTCGGCACACATAATAAATCTGTCTTTGGAAACTTGCTCCTTTGCAGTTTTGACACAGATAAATGACAAGTATTAAATCTTAAGGGAAAAGAACCAGCTGCTGTAGTTGTTGAATTACTGAGACGTAAGCCTCTAGGCCTGCTGATCTGAAGTACCAGCCAGAGGCCTCCTGGAAAAGGGTACAGGTGAGCTGAGAGAATGTGAGAGGTAACCTCAGAACATCTTTGTCTTCACCAGCCCAAAGAAACTCAAGGTCATGTCTAATATTGTTGGATCCGAACTTTGGAAGCCACTGGACTTTGACCAGTGAGAGGACCTTGCTGTGGACAGATGCCACACTAAGTCAGTGGTTCAAGGCTTGGCCTTCATGTGGGATTTGTCTTTAACTGGAGAGGAAGGTACGTGCTAAAAGAGCAGGACTAGCAACAAACATATTTATTTCTTTCCTGTTCAGCACAATACTGTGGGTAGGATCCAGGGGTGAGAAGGGGGTAATTCTAGAATGTCAGAGCCACAAATAGCGAGTAGGTAATACATCCCTCCACCGGGGTGTTCCTCTACTCCAGGATGGAGCTCCTTGAGGGGAGAGGCCTTGTATTCTTTGTCAATGCAACTCCCCCACTCTTTAGACGGGGAGGCCACGGCCCAGAGACTTTTGCTGGAATTCCCAAAACCACTCGGCTACCCAATAACAAAGCTGAAATGAGAACCAAGACCTTCTTCCTGCGACGTGAGCTATTTTTTCCATAACATTTGGAGAGAAAATTGCTGTCCTTTTCTTTGAAGGTTATATACGCTTTATACGGACGGGAAGGAGTGCCAACAATGTGCTCCTTCCCAAGATGTTAGCAGAATTGAGCCCAGCCAACATGGCGAATGCTGCCAGTTGCTCGGGCAAGGAAGCCCCAGCCCTCAGCTCAAGGGGACTTGCTGTTAGTCCCGAGATCCCAAGGTGAGAGCCCTGTGCAGGGAGATGACCCCTACCAATAGGAGGAGGAGCCAGGCTCTCTTCTCAGAGCTCTCCCTGGATTACTCACATAATCCCTCCAGCTAAGCAGTCAGGGGGCACTATAAGCAATTCCACTGGTCTGAAACAGGACAATGTGCCAGCGAGAGGGGTTCGATCAGACCTGAGAGTCTGAGACTTCACCTCAGCCCTTAGATCTGCTGCCTGTCCAACCCTGGGAAAGGCAGAGGACAGTCCTTAGGAAGAGGTGACTTCTGACCCCCTCCCGTGGCAGCAGAAGCCCAGCGCCAGCTGTGGAAAGGCCATGCCTGGGAGCACATGCCTCCTAAGACTCCCAGCTCTGTCCCTAGATGTCTCCCTTCCTTGGAGCCACTGCCTGAACTCATCGGACTTGGAGCTGGAAGCCTACCTCCTGGAACACTGCTCTTCCTGTCATTGTCCCTCCAATGGAGAAATGGCAGCTTGAGGTAGCCATAGAGTCTGAGTGCCCCCGGCCTCACACCTCCCACTGACTGGCTGTGAACATAGACAGTTCACTGACATCTCCAGGCCTCAATCTCTTTATCAGCACTGCTTCACAGGGTGGCTGTGAGGATCCAATAAATTGTCACCTGTGAGCACACATTGTACATTGTTCAGTGATGGCCAACACTCACCTATTCCGCTTTATCTACCACCAGGACAAACTACTTGAGAGTGTTTGAGAGCATGCAGTTTGGAGTCAGACAAATACGGGCAAGTAACTGAACGTTTCTCAGTTTCCACATCTGTAAAATGGGCACAGTACTTGTGCCTACTACAGGGATGTTAGAAGTCATGCCAGATAATGCATGAAAATCAATAGTTAAAATTTTGTTAGGACTTTAAATAAGTTAATATATAATACAACCACCTGTCTTAGGGCCTTGCACCTGTGTGTTAGCTATTATTAATACTTTACAACTAAATACAGGTATAAACAGTGAAAAAAGACAATGCCTTTAAAGTGCTTTGTTCTGTTTCTAGCACATGGTTTGTTTTCAGTAAATAGAAACTACTAAGTAATGTTAGTTTATTGTTGCTGTTATTATCAGTAATAGAATTGATAGACCCTCTTATTGGATCTAAATTTCCTATCTTTGTTGGACTCAAACCCAGCCTGACTCCTGGAATAACATTCAGGTGTCCTCCCATTGGGTCAGAACAGAAGTGTCACGTCCCTAAACGTAAGATCGGTAGCTTGAGAAACAGAAGAAAAGAAAAACTGACTCCCAGGTTCCCATCGCCCACGTGTGCTGTCGCTAAGGTGTCTCTTGGGATCTTGCTACTTAAAGTGTGGCCTGGGGACTGTCAGCATCAGGCATCCCAGGGAGCTAGTGAGAACTGCAGACTCTCAGGCGCCCCTCTGCAGCTCCCCTGAATCAGAATCTGCCTGTTAACAGGTCCCCCATGATTCCCATTCACAGCAGAGTTGAGCAGCAAGCACTGCCTTGGGGCTCAGCAGAATGCTGCTCTTTCCTGCCTGGCCTGGTCCAGGTAACAGGACGGAGTTTTATCTTTGACTCCCCGCCACCCCAAAGCTGGCAGAGCTGCTTTCATGGGTATGCAAGGTGTGCAGTCTCCAGGACCCCGTGCTCAGAAAGGTCCCGTGCTTCATTTTTGCTCCGCATTGCGGTCTTGAAATTCGTCATAGTCTGAACAAGGGCCCCAATGTTTTCATCGTGCACTGAGTCCTACGAATGAGGTACTCCCGATGCCCAGGACCCTGGGGTCCTCTGGGGCTAGAGTCTAAAATTTGCCTGGCTTTGGCCACCTTCCTTCCCCAAGCCAGATCCCACCCCCCTGTGCCAGTGCCCTGAGCCCTGTTTCTGCCCCTATGTGGACATATCCTGACACGGCTGCAGCCCAGGCTACGTGGGGAATTAGGTGCACTTCAGCAGCACCTGCCACCCTGCCTGACCAGAGGGATTTATCCTCCTGGAGGTAAGGATTGCCAGAACCATGAGTTATCTCTTATTTAGCATTTAGATGTCCTAGGTGCTCCGCACTATTTTTGACTTGCCTTGTCTCATTAAATCTTCCAATAGCCAGTAGGGTACGTATTATTTTTTCCTGTTTGACAGAGAAGGAAACTCAAAGACATTAAAATAACGTGCCAAAAATCGAATAACAGATCAGAAGCAAAACCAGGATATAAACCTAAGTTTGTCTGAATCCACAGCCTCCGGACTATTCTGCATCACTGCACCTGGTGATCCTGGGCCGTTCCCTCCCAGCAGCCCCACCTGCCCAGGGACCCAGACCCCCACTCACTATGGCCCATCCTCACCCCATTTCTCTAGAGGCTCCCCCCACCCCAAGTGTTAACAGAGGAGACATTTTACAGCAAACATTCACAGAGCTGCTGTGGAAAATTAGCCACAAACTTTGTGTCTTAAGAAAAGAGAAACTTATTCTCTCACAGGTTTGGAGTCCACAAGTTTAAAAACCAGTATCATGGCACTGAATTAAGATGTTGGCAGAGCGTAGTCTCTCTCAGAGGCCCAAGGAGAATCCTCTTCCATGTTCTGGCGGCTGCAGCTTCCTTGGCCTGTGGCCACATCACTCAGTCCCCGGGGCCAGCATCATCAAGTCTCTGCTCCGACTTTAAATCGTCTTCTCTGTGTGTGTCAAGTCACCCTCTGCTTCCCTCTCATAAGGATACGTGTGACTGCACTCGGGGCCCACCCGGTAACGCAGGGCAACCGCCCCATCTGAAGATCCTTAACTTAATCCCCTCTGCAACGGCCCTCTTTTTGCCATAGAAGGTAACATTCACAGGTTCCGGAGATTGAGACGTGAATATCTTTGGGGGGATCGTTTTTTTTAGCTAACCAAAGTTGGCAGATATGCTAATAATTGGAGTTCTCAGAAAAAGAAAGGCCTCCTGGCCCTGCCCCCGGGAGGCTCCGCCCCTGGCCCTGCCCCCGGGAGGCTCCGCCCCTGGCCCTGCCCTCGGGAGGCTCCGCCCCTGGCCCTGCCTTCTGAAGGCTCCGCCCCTGGCCCTGCCCTCGGGAGGCACCGCCCCTGGCCCTGCCCTCGGGAGGCTCCGCCCCTGGCCCTGCCTTCTGAAGGCTCCGCCCCTGGCCCTGCCCTCGGGAGTCCCCGCTCCTGGGCGCCCTCCAAACAATGCAGCTTCCAGGAGAACCAGCTCCAAAGTACTAAGGCCACACTCAGAGGAAGGGGAGGTTTGGGAAGAAAGCAGCAAGGAACCCTAGTGAAGGCCCTAGAGCCAAAGAGCCCAAGGATAGGTCTTCTAAGGAGAAGAATTGAAAGGTAAACTGCTCTGGAATCTTACATTCCCTTCTCACAGGCCTTTTCCAGCTTTGCAGATAAAATATGTGTGAAAATCATAGTATCCGTTAAGAATTCTGCTCTGGGGCCATCATGTGTTCAAGTATTAGCTAATAAACCTCCTCCTTCCTATTCCTTTTTGTTGCTCTTACTCTTTATCCCCTTTTATGACTCAGTTGGTAACTTTCTGTCTCTGCTTGCTTATGCCTACATTCTTATTCATCCTTCCATGTCAGGTAAATCACTCGCAGCCACGGAAACTCCGAGGGGCAACGTCCAGTTTCATTCGGAGGATGGAAAGTAAAATAACGGCTTCCTGAAAGATGGAAAGACAAGACTTGAAAACAGATGCCCTTAGATAAGGTGAGATGTCTCAGGACAAGAACTCAGCTTGGACCGGAGTCTGTGTAGGTTGGGGCTCACCTGGTCAGCCACACCCGTGTACTGCATCTGTCAGCAGGGACGTTAAAACTCGGCCTTTTATGGACCACAAGAAAAAGAGCTGAGAATAAGTGAGGCAAACAGTGGATGAACGGAGTTGTTTGTATATGTTCACACATCCAAAAATGGTGCCGGCAATAACCCTGTGCAGGTGCCAGGTAAGGATTTCACTACCAGCCCCTCCCTGTGAGACGCTGGTGCTGCCGTAAACCAGGAGGCTGGGCAAGATCTCCTCCAACACTATCTGAGTCTGTTGCTCCATCTGTTCCGTGTTCGTTCTGGGCTGGGACAGCCTCATCTTCCCTATCCCAGCACCAGGGTAGACATACCTACTGCTCACATGTCTTTCTTCAAAGAGCAGACATTGCCAGCCGTGCTTCTATTTTTGTAGCTAATCTGACCCTATTTGCTTCTGCACTAATCTATGCAGCAGCTTCAACTTGCCCCTAATTAGAACGTGTGTCTGTGTCAGTCAGGGTTGGACCTGTGAAGCAAAACAAGTAGATCTCTAGAAAAAGAGATTGGGATATCAAGGAATGGCTTGCAGGGAGCTGACCCACGCATTGTGGGAATGGATTAAAAATGGCCCCTGTACAGATGTCTGTGCATCCGATACTGGAGCTTGAAGGCCGTAGGGAAGTCAGGAAGCAAAGATCACCAGCAGGCTGGAGCCCCACAGGCACAAGCAGGGACCCCACAAGGACAGCCTGGAAGCTGTGTCCATTCTTGTTGCCCCTGACCTTGGTGGAGTGGAAACCATGTCGAGGCCGGGCTCCTCATCACTTAGCTAAACTCACGCATCTGGCCCAGCTGCTGCTTCATGCAAGGAGCTGAGTCAGCACATTAGCTACAGAGCCAGGCTCTGCCTCCCTTTTACCCTCCAAAATCTCAAGGGAATCTCCCTTGTGACACACCCCAACAGGAAACACACAAGCAAGGGAATTCTTTTACATGAACAAAGCCAAAATGCCACGTTACAAAGCCATCGGTGCGGTAAGTCAGACTCCCCTGGAGACAGACTCTGAGAGGGAGGTGGAAATCCGGAGGCTGAGGTTTTTCAGGGATATTCTCTGAGTAAGAAAAGCGGGATGGGGCCAAGGGAGAAGCTGAACAGAGAGGCAGTCACAACAGGGACCCATTCCCCATGGAGCTCTGCGTCCAGGCTGGCCTTCAGGGTTGTCTGGAATCAGGCAAGGCTGCCTCCAGAAGAGCACAGGGCCTGCGTGCAGCAGTGAGGAGGTGGAGGGCAGTTTCAGGGGGGTCTAGACTGTGAGCCATCAGCAACCTTCACTCCTGGCACCTGGGGGAACGAGTGCCCGGGTCCCAAAGGGACCTCTGGACAGGCCCCACCATGGCCAGTAAACCTGCTTCACTAAATGCCTTGCCTGTGAGGAGAGCATCTCTGCCGGAGGAAGAGATTTTAGATGGGATGACAGAGCTGTGTGTGCTGGTAGGAGTGGGGGGGATTCTCCCTATTGCTTGAAGCAGTCTCTAGTGACTGCTTCCTTGTCCTCCACTTCCAAATCTCTTTCCAGCTCCAGGGGCAGGCGGTGGAACTTTGCAGCGCTTCCCCGGAACTTTCCGTGGTACCGCTCTGCACCTGCTACTTTGCAGTGGGTACATGGGTGTCCCCCATACTCAGGCTTCCCTGGGAAAACCCGGGTTCCGGGGAATGTGGAATTCTAGGACACACTATGAATTTCCTGCAAAGTGAGCTTGGAAATCCAGGCATGAGACTTTGTCTCCAGAAAGGCTGCTGAGAACCCATTCCCTTTACTCCGCTGAGGGTGGGCTCTGGCGCCATCCTCAATGTCATTTTCCTTGTGCCATTGCAGGGTCCATGAGTGGCAAGAAAGATAAGGCTGCCATTTTGTTTTTTCCCAGAGGCATCAAACCACTGCCTTACACACGGCTGTTCTTAAATATCCTCCAAGTAAAATTGGCCTTAGAATTTAAGCGCCATACTTACACAAAAGTGTGGACGAATGCAGAAAATAAACACATCCTTCCAGTGTCTTCCATCTCAGTGGCAGGCCCCTCTCCATCTTGTGGTACAAGCCAGAATCTGAGGCGTCCCCTTGATACCACTCTCCTCTGCAGCCCCCTCTTCACCAACCACTGTCAAGAGCTTTCCCAGGCCCCTTCCCACTTCCCTCTTTCTTCACTGGCCCCTCCCTCAAGCTGCCAGCACCCCTTCTCTGGGACCCTGCGGTGACCCCTGACTTTGTCTCCTCATATGTACTCCTGCCCCTTCAATCTGATCTCCATTCTGGACACGGAATAGTCTTTTTTTTTTTAATGCTTATTTATTTTTGAGAGAGAGAGCATGAGCGGGGGAGGGGCACAAAGAGAGGGGGACAGAGGATCCAAAGTGAGCTCTGTGCTGACAGCGGAGAGCCTGAAGTGGGGCTAGACTCACGAACTGCAAGATCATGACCTGAGTTGAAGTCAGACTGTCAACCGGGGTTGCAATCCGGGTGCCTCACGTAGAATGGTCTTTTAAAAATATAGTTCTGGGGCACCTGGGTGGCTCAGTTGGTTGAGCGTCTGACTTCAGCTCAGGTCATGATCTGGCAGTTCATGAGTTCGAGCCCCGGGTCAGGCTCTGTGCTGACAGCATGGAGCCTGAAGCCTGCTTCAGATTCTGTGTCTCCCCCACTCTCGGCCTCTCTCCCATTCACACTCTGTCTCTCAAAAATGAATAAACGTTAAAAAAAATGCTTTAAAAATACAGTTCTGATCATGTGTTTTCTGTCCTTCAGTTTATTCAGTGTCTTCTGACCTATTGTGTTCCAGATAAGAATACAATTCCTAATGTGGCTCCCAAGGCCCTACAAGGCCTCGGGTCTTAGCCTGCTCCGGGCTGTGCCTCACTCACGGTGCTGCAGCCAGGGCTGGCCTCTCTACCGGGTCTCCCCCAGGGACCTCCCCTGTTCTTCCCCCACCTGCTAATGTCTGCTGTGGTTAGTGGTTCCACACACAGGACCTGTAGTCAGACCCTCAGGATTCCAATCTCCAGCTCCAGCACCTTTTTTTTTTTTTTTAAACCTGTGTAGCTTTGGGCAACTTACTAAAGCTCTCCACACCTCAGTCTCCTCATCTGTAAAGTGGGTGCACTCCAATGCTGCAGGAGTACATGAGGCACTGTGTGTAGACCACAGTACCAGGCACGTTGTGAGTGTTTGGAAATGTTAGTGACCATCCTAATGCATCCTGCAGGCCTCAGCCCAGGTGTCCCTCTTTATGGCGGGTGGCCCCTGCTGCCCCCACACCCCACCAGGGCCAGAGCCTTCCCATGCTCCTGTGGTCCCTGCCCCTTCCTTCCTTTCACAGCATGTACACAAGGTGCTCAGGCCACAAGCCCCCTCAGGGCAGAGACACGGCCTGATTGCTCACCATTATATCCCCAAAGAGCCTAGCACCAACGTTTCTCAAAATAAACGTTCCCTTCTCTGGTGCATCCAGGAGAGGGTGGGTATGGGATGTGATCTGGGCTCTCTGTCACCATACAAGGAGTGGGACTGGGAGGCAGGAGGCGTGTCCCAGGACGCCTTCTAGGGCTGACGTCTGTGAGTGGTCTGCCCAGGTCTAGTGAGTGAGCAGAGGCGCCACATCGGCCCCATTTGGTGCCTCGCCTGGACCCCGCAGGCTTCATTCAGAGTGAGGCCCACAGCCCTGCTTCGGAGGCTTAGCCATAGAAGACAGCCCTTCCCACCAACATTAACTTGCCCACATGGCCAGCCTGGCTTCACAGGGGTGTTGTTTTGATTTCCATTTCTTTATTAGAGAACAAGGCCACCTAACACAAACACTTGTCTGAGTCTGAAGCAGAAAAGGGCAGGAGGGATATCATGGAAAAAGTCCGTATTATGGGTGGGGAGGCCTGAATGCAAGCCTACATTGCCCTTCTCTGAGTAATAGTGCACTAATCATTTTCACTCCCTCATTTGTTTTACTCATTTGGTTTGTTTTTTTTTTTTTTAAGTTTATTCATTTATTTTGAGAGAGAAAGGGAGAAAGAGAGAGAACACAAGCGGGAGAGGAGCAGAAAGAGAGGGAGAGAGAAAGAATCCCAAGAGGGCTTGGCGTGCTATCAGTGTGGAGCCCAGCATGGGACTCAAACTTGTGAACCCTGAGATCATGACCTGAGCCGAAATCGAGAGTGGGACACTCAAACAACTGAGCCCCCCAAGCACCCCTGTTTTACCCATTTGTGAAATGAAAGAGATGGATGTCTGAGCCCCAGCAAGGGTGTGCCAGCCTCTCCCTCGGTCTCGGAGAACCTACCTGCCACACGCTGATGTCAGTTCTAGGTAACAGGGGGCCCTACTGGACACAGAGTCCTGATTGGGCTAAGGGTGGACACCCCGCCAGGCCCGTCTTAGGCCACGAGGATGGAATCAGCCACCTGGTGATGGGCACTGTAACTGTAGGTTAGGAAAAGCCAGGCCCATGCTGCCCTGATGCGGGGCAGGGCTGAATTCTGTAGCTGCATTTTGGGAGTACACCTGTGAGCCTTGGAGAACGAACTGGTTTACAGAGACAAAAATGGAACAGACAGAGGCACATGGCCCCAGACAGAGATAGAGAGGAGTCTCCGATGAATTTCGTCCCTGTAAAGCCCAGCTGTAATTCCTCTGGGGCATGCCTGGGGACACCCCTGTAGCCAATCCTTTAAGTGGGGTTCAGACTGTTTCTATTCTATTGTTGATAAAGATGTCTTCTCATATTGGATGTCAGTTAAACACCTCAACACATACGACTGCCTTACTCATGACAGCTTTCTACTGTCCAAAGACCTCTGACTTTCACTTACCCTGTTTTAAAGCCCACTAGACCAGGGAGATCAGTGCTATAGGAAGGGCTTTCATTGCCCAGCTGAGGAAACCAAGACCCAGAGTGGGTGACGGTCAAGGTGAAGGCAGAGCTCTGCCTTCAGAGCATATCCGGAAGTGCCATCGGAGGACCGTCTGTCGCCCGTGGCATCAGCCCACTCTAGGCCAAGGCTGTTATGAACTCAGGCTGTTTGCAGAACTCTGCTGTGGAACAGCGTCTGTCCCTGGTCTGTTATGTGTTCTAAAAAGTAACAAGGGCTAGACCATGGGGACGCTAGAGCTGGGGACATAGATGCAAGGCGCAGACCCCAGGCAAAGCTGTGCAGACGCCTCTACGGTGAAACAGGAGTAGCCACTGGCCTGGAGAGCACAGCCAAGCTCCTAGGCATGGCATGAGTGTGCGGGAGTGGTGTGAACACCACAGACAAGAACACCCCCTTCCTAAAGCGGGAATAGGGATCTGAGTGGCCAGGAGACATTTGTAGGCATCCAGCCTGTGACTTCAGCCTCTGGGCACTGGCCACCAGCTGCCAGACATCCCCTGGGCCATGAGCAGCGGGAGAGGCGACACAGTTGGGAAATCCCGAGTGTCTCTGCAAAAATCAAAGAACCTGGAGAAGAGGCTGAGGAAATTTTCTGATCATTATTCAAAGCTCCTTTTTGTCCTGTTAAATAGGGAGCTTCAGGAGAAAAATCAAAGATACGGTTTTCTAAAGATGCCATCCCTGTGAGCAAAAGTCACGTATTTTGAGCAGGTGTTGGCACTGCAATAATACACTGTTTTGAGTCCGAGTTCTCTCCGTAGCCTCACTCGCGGGCACAGGCGTGGCACGAAGCCGGCTCCTTATAGAAATAACCCGAGGGCTTGCTCGGAGCCCGGGCCAGGTTGGACTGTAAGCACTCTCATACCCCATTTCACAGATGAAGAACGGAGGCGTCGGAATCCCAGGTCTCACAGCTGCGACGAGGTGGAAGCAGTGTTTGCCTCCAGGCAGCCTGGCTCCAAACCCCTGATGTAATCTTTGGAGTATATTTGATGCTCCTTGTCCTCATGTTTGGACAGGACCGGTTCGGGTGGGCAGGATGGCAGGGGCCTGTGTATGGAGCCCATCAATACCAGCTGGGCCAAGGCTTTCAGTTTGCCGGCCCTTGCTGGTG